AAATATCACAGCTCTCTTACCCATCTAAGATTCTCTCTGGGAAAATCTCTCTGACAAGCAAGTACAGGTGATGGCCAGAGAGTGACAAACCACAGCCCATAGCCCCTCTTGATTTTTATACAGCACCTAAATTAAGAATGTTTTCTACAATTTCATGAAGTCATTAAAGGTCAGTGTAGCCGCCAGAGAGATAGCACAGTGGGTAGGGTGCTTGCCTTACACATGGTTGACCCAGGCTTAATCCCCAGAACCCCATATGGTTCACCCAAGACTCCCAGGACTGATTCCTAAGCACAATGCCAAAAGTAAGCTCTAGGCACCTACCACATGTTGCCCAACTCCCTTGCCCCCCCAAAAAAGTTTAAGTAAAGTTTATTGAAACATGATATGCTTATTTGTTTACATATCATCTTTGGATGTTTGTTTTCATGTTACAGGAGCAGAACTTAACAGTTGCAACAAAGACCATCTGCTCTCTGGGTCTATCATATTTACTATTTGGCACTTCCTAGTAACCGGTTGCTGACTCTTCAGTAAGAACACAGCTGCAGGAACACATTTTCCCTGGAATAGTTTTCACCAGCTCTATATGATGTCGGTGGGTCCCACGGGTGACTTTTGTGAAGCAGGGAGGAGAAAGACGGTCACTTTCTCCCCAACTGCCTCTGCTACCCAGGACCCAGGGTTACCAGGGTTACTGGGTTCTTGTCTCGCCTCACAGAAAGGAATTTCAGGAGTAGACAAGCAGTGAAGTAAATAGATTTTATTTGGAGGATTTTTAGGTGCGGAGGGGGAGAGAGAGAGAGAGAGAGAGAGAAAAAGAGAGAGAGAGAGAGAGAGAGAGAGAGTAAAGTTAGACACGAAAGCATGAAAGTACACATCTCAAGAGGGGAGATGCGGGCAACACATGTGCTCAGACACCACATGTGCTCGGCCACGTGGGCGCAAGCAGCACACGGGCTCAGGCAGCATATGTGCGCCCTTCCTTTGTTCCAGGTGGCCTTTATAGGGTTTCTCCAACCTGCCCCCACATGGGGCTTCTTCCCAGGTACAAGTCGTTGCTAAGGAGGTTACCAGGGAGGATGGGAGTGGTGATGGTCTTCTTTGAAATTCCTTTCCTGGCCTTTTGTTCCTGCAGGAGCTTCTTTGGGTCTGTTGCTGGAGCCAGGTGAGGGTTTTATTAAGCCTTAGTTCCTGTTTTCCTATTTTCTGCAGTGCTGGATTTTGACATTGCCTCGGGAAGGGGCCTTCCCTGTCTACCTGCCTACATCATAAAGAGGTAAGCTTCTTTTCCCGCTGATGTTCCAAATATCACAGCTCTCTTACCCATCTAAGATTCTCTCTGGGAAAATCTCTCTGACAAGCAAGTACAGGTGATGGCCAGAGAGTGACAAACCACAGCCCATGGCCTGTAGCAACAGCTGCCCTCTATAAGAAATCAGTCTTCGCCCAGCAAATTGCTAGTCCTCTGTGCTTCCAGTCTCAGTCACTCCTTGCAAAAACGTATTCCTCTGATGAAGCATGACAACCTGGCCCAAATCAGGCATCAAGAGGAAACGTGGACACACAATTGACACTGACTCAGCAGCTCTCCGGATAATTCTTAGAAGAAAACATACAGCCTAATAATGATTTAATTTGGAATCATGTAACTTATCATTTGCTAATAGTTACCACTCCTTCCCAAGTACTGATGGCTGACCGTATTGCTCAAGTTTTAAGCCTATGTAACTTTACCCAGCTTCAGTGATGTGCATGTAATACGTCCACAATAGACAGGGTGCAAAGCAAGGTCCTCAGGGAAAAGCAGAAAGTCATAGATAAAATCATGCTTTTTCAGGTGAAAATGGCAAGAGAAGGGGCAGGTCCTAGTCTGATGGAGGGTTAATCAATGCAGAGCACAGTAGTCACAGTGCTCATTCCTCTTCAACTCAACTCATAAAGGATCTTTTATATTTTGGGTTTGGAGACTCACCCAGCTGTGTTTAGGGCTCTCTGTTTAGAAACTCATAATGGCTCTCTGTTCGGGGATCATTCCTGGTGGTGCCTGAGAAGCCTATATGTAGTACCAGGGCTCAAATCAAGGCAAACATCTTACCTACCTTACTTAACTCTCCAGTCTCACCCACTGACATTTTTTAGTCACCCACCAGTGCTCAGGGTCTATTCCCAGCTCTGTGTAGTGGTTCTTGGGGACAGTGCTGTGTTGGGGATCAAACACACTTGTAGTAACGTATGAAAGAGGCCAACTGAGTTGCCTCTACAACACCTTGTGGAGATTTCCAAAAATGTGCTCAGTCTCTGGTAATATAGAGATTGAGAATTCTGATTCTCTATGTCCAAGGAGCTCACAGTCTAGAAAAGACAAATGTGTATGTGTGTGTGTGTGTGTGTGTGTGTGTGTGCGCATGTGTGCCTACGTATGTGGTATGGATATGAAAGATAGACACTGAATAATTAACATAGGTTATTACCTAGTGGGATTATAGGTTTATCTACATTTTATAATTTTTATTTAACATTAATTATATAGAAAATTTTAATTATGGCATAGACTTACGTTACAAAAATGAAAACTGTACATAATTATAACTCTTTTGCAATTCGCAAAATGTTTCCTCCAGAATATCTAAGAGGGAGGTCAGAGCAATAATACAGTGGGTAGGGCTTTTTCCTTGCAAGTAGCCAACCAGGATTTAATCTTCAGCACCCCATATAATATCTCAAGCCTGTCAGGAGTGATCCTTAGAAGTGGAGCCAGAAGTAAGCCTTGTTGGGTGTGGCCCTAAAACAAACAAACAAACAAACAAAAACAAAAAATAACATCTTTTGGGGGGGAAAGAGCCCGACCTTTTATACTATTGCTCCTAAAATGAGTTATATGGAATTAAAAGGAGTTTGTTAGCAGATATTCCGAGAAAATAAAAGAAATGTTCCAATATATTCAGGAAGGTTTTAGTATATAATTGCAGACAGAACATAAAGAAAAATAGAGTAGACATAGGTTTGGTGAGAACTTGCAACCCAGACCAAGATCCTTAGATACCAAGGAAAATAATTCAGACTAAGGAGCATGAATTGCTTTCTAAGACTGTAAAATGTTTGAAAAAAGAACAGTGGTGAGACGTAGGTTCAATCTCCAGCACCACATATGCTAAGCCAAGAATAAGTTCTGAATGCTGTTGGATGTGGCCCCAAAATTAAAATTAGAAAATTTTAAGTATAGCATAGACTTATATTACAAAAATGAAATCGGTACATAATTATAATTCCTTTGTAATTCACAAAAAAAAGAAGGAAGGATGGAAGGAAGGAAGGAAGGAAGGAAGGAAGGAAGGAAGGAAGAGAGGAAGGAAAGAGGGGGAAAAAAAGAACCATTAACTTTGGAGGCAGTGAAGGTACCATAAATCTGTACACCGAAAGCATCAATACATGGTAACTATGCTATTTCAATAACAAATAAAAATTTAATTACAGTTTTGTTGACAATAGACCTTTATGGTCTGGCAAATAGAGTTAGCTTAAGAAGCATTACCCATTCCTAGATATAACAATAAATACCATGAATGACACCTTGGCTGGATCCTTGATATCATGTAAATCAAAATGGAAGCATCTGATTATATGATCTTTTGTGGGGAAAGTGTTCAAGGTGGTTGGGGGGTGGCCACTCCCGGCTCTGTTTGAGGATCACTCCAAGGTTAATCACATCCAAGGCAAGGCAAGTACCTTAACCCCTGTACTAAGTCTTCAGCTCTCGACTAGATAATTTTTAATACCTCTTCTGAACATCAGATTCCATGATCTTTTGACAATTGGTCCCTTGGTGTCCTGCACCTGATTTATTTTCAGTGTATTGTGCTGGATAGATGATTTGTTGAATATGTAAAGAGGTCTTTCTGAAGTGTCCAGAGACTCTGACAGGTGGGGCTGATACTAGCCCAGATTCAGGAATTGCTAATGCAATCTCAGATGAACATGTAAGAAGGCAAATACCTAGGAGGTGAAGATGGGGGTGGAGCTAAGATTGTTTGGGAGTGAATTAGGACATCTCTAAAAAGGCAGCTCCTCCCTGAGAACCATTATTCCCTCTATAAAAGGGCCACCATGCCCAATTAGAAGCACCCTGTAAGCTGCTTTAGTCTTCATCCTACTTGTTTCTCTGGTGAACTAGGTAAGTGAGCCAGAATACTTGGGGACGTGTGCTATGAAACCCTAGGATATACTCTAAGGCACTAGATACCAAGCTACTTTTTTTAAGCATATTTCTGGGAATTTCTACACAAGTACATAAATTTAACTATTGAGAATGAGGAGATGACAGGCTAATAGTACCCTCCTTCTTTGGGGTCATTTCCTTAGAGCTCAGTAGGCTCTAACTGTCCATTAGGCAGTTGTCTCATTTACTACTGAACTTTTACTCTGTGTATGGGATGAGTAAAATATGATGACCTGCTTGGAGAATGAAAAACAGGAGCTGAACTTAATAGCAACTGCCTCAGCTCCTTTTCATCTAGACCGGTGGCTGGCTATACCATTTTGTCTACCCCTCTAGCCTACTGCTACCCCTCAGTTGGAAATATGCATCCTGTTTAGTTAATGACCTGCCTATCTCTAATGTTATGCTTTGGTTCTAGAGAGGAATTAAGGAAGTACATACAGTACTCTAAATGTTTCTATACCATCAGAAAAACATTCATATAATTATCCCAGATAAAGCAGAGAGCCCCATACATTAAGACATTGCTCCTCGTTCAGGAAAAGAAATCAGCAATCTACATTCTGTTCCTAATTTCATCACTTTCTTGCTACATGGCTTAAACAAGTCATTCAACTCTGAATTGGTTCTTGATTACAACAGAATAAAATTAATCATATCTAATTCTTAATAATTACTACAAATGATCAAATTATTAATGTAAAATAATTAAAGAGAAACAAGATGAAGTGGGTGCCTATCCTTTCTTTCCCCTTTAAGGTTAATCAAATTTACAAAAAAGATGCCTAAACTCCTGGAAAGCATTGTCACTGTCATCGATCTTTTCTATGAATATGCTGGCCAAGATGGAGAGTGTGATATGTTGAAGAAGGCAGAATTCAAGGAACTTTTGGAAAATGAGTTTCATCAAGTTCTGAAGGTAAGAACTCTGTTTCAGCACTAAAGTTGCTGCAAGTATCTTTTTAACCCCTTCTTTTATGTCACATGTCTAAAAAGGGATTTTTGAGGGATTTTCTACTTCTGACAGAGAATAGAAATTGGCAAGAATGTGAAGTCAAAATATCACCCATAATAATTTCTAAAATATGACAAAAAGATGAGCTTCTACTAACAACAGAGAATAACATAGGTATAGTAATGTTACTTATGTGACTAGTATGGAATAGAAACTATTAAAATTATTTTAAAATTAAAGCAGGTAAAATGCATCTTCTTCCATTCTCTGTCTTTCTTCATATAGAATATTCTGACCTCTGCCTATTTCTAAATTTTGGTACTATGAGATCTCTCTACTTAGGAAGTTAGCACCTTGCTCCTAAACCACAAAGTAACTACTGCGTTAAAATATTGACTCTAGAAATAAGTATTTGGAATTTATATCTTCATAGATAGGAAATAGGAAGCTCCTCTTTTTCAAAGTCATTAAACACAGAAGCTTAATAAATATTTTATAGGCATTCTTCAAAATGCCACAAATTCAGGATGCCAGGTATAAAACTCATCGCCTTTTCTCTTATTTGTTCAACACAAAAAATCCAGTGCCACACTAACTTCCTCTCTCAGCAATTACCACTGCTATCTAATCACCAACTAATTCATCAATATTATCTTGGTAAAACAGCATATTTATCTCCACCCCTATTACTAGTCTGTGGGTTCAGTTCACCTCTCCTACTAGTAGTCTCAGCATTTGGTACAAATATAATAATTTCGTAATTCAACTCAACATCCTTCAGTGTGACTAGAAAGATAGGCAGAGTGCATGCTCTCAATGCATATTTCTTTCTCTCTTCCTGCTCATGACAGGTAATTCTAGTCTAAAGAGCTATGTAGTTGAAGTACATCTAAGTAATCCATATGTTCCTATTTGTACTGCATTTTTTCAATGGGTTAGGTAGGTGTAATCCACATTAACAGAGCCACCCTTTGTATCTTGTTTCTATACAGAATCCAGATGATCCAGATACTGTAGATATCATCCTGCAAAGTCTGGATAGAGATCACAACAAGAAAGTGGATTTTACTGAATATCTCCTAATGATATTCAAGTTGGCTCAGGCTTGTAATAAAATTGTTAGCAAAGATTACTGCCAAGCTTCAGGGTCAAAGCAGAGAGATCACAGATACCAGCACCCAGAGGAACAAAGTGAAACAGAAGAGGACGACGAAGGGCAAGAAAGGTCTTCCACTCATTCAAGTTGGAGTACAGGAGAGAATAATTCATATTCCAGGAAATCCAGGCAAAACATTACACACAGATCTGGATCAAGTTCCAGAAGAAGACAGCATCAAAGAGGCTTGTCTAGTTCTGGACAAGGACATAGCTCTGGGGAAAGAAAGACAGGGTCAAGTTTAGGCAACTTTGAGAATAGTAAGAAAAACAAACAAGAAACGTCTGGGAATGAAGGAGCTGGTCATACTCAGTCAAGTAACTGTAAAAAGAGATCAAACTCAGCAAATTCGTCAGGCAGTTGTGGAGAAGGAAGTGTGCGCTATTCAGAGGATGAATCTTCCAGTTATGAGCAACACTACTCTGACTCAAATGGATCTTTAGGGAATAGAAATCATGATAAATTAAGGCATTCCTCTAGTCAGGGGCAGGAATTCAGTTCAGGCAGTTGTGGAGGAAAAGACCATTGGTCAAATTCAAACGACTTCACCAGTTGTGGTCATGGGTCTGGCTCTCAAAGGAGACAGCAGAAATCAAATACTGAATCTCAATCAGAAAACTGTGAAGAACAAGGATACAGTTCTGGTTCAAGTGATATATCCACTTATGGAAAACATAGTTCAAGGTCAGGCCAGTCCAATAGTCCAAGAAGACAAGGATCCTACTCAAGTGGAGAATCAGGACTCAGAGGACAACAAAAATATGGTTCAAGCTCAGAAGAATATGGATCTGAATATGAATCAGGCAGAGGAAAAAGGCAATTAAGCCCAAATAGGTCATCTACTCAGAGAAAATATAGCAGCAGCTCTAATAATAAGTCAGGAAGTCGTGAAAGACAAAGCCATGGGTTTGGTTCAGGAAAACTTTCTAACTATGGTGGGGAAGATTCTACATCTGAAGAGTCTTCTAGCTGTGGACAATATGGCTCTGGTTCCAGCCAAAGATCCAGACAAAAACGCCAAGAATTCAACTCAGGTGGTCATTCTGGAAATTATGGAAGACAGAGACATGGGTCTGGCTCAAGTCAATCATCCAGCTGTGAACATCATGGTTCTAGCACAAGACAGTCATCAGGCTGTGGACAAACTGAATCTGGATCAGGTCAATCATCTAGTTTTGGTCGGCGTGGCTCAAGTCAGTCATCTAGCCACATGGGACACGGGTCTGTCTCAGGTCAGTCATCTGGCTATGGACAGCATGCTTCTAGCAGACGACAGTCATCAAGCTATGAACAAACTGGATCTGGATCAGGCCAGTCTTCCAGCTTTGGTAAACGTGGCTCAAGTCAGTCTTCCAGCCACAGGGAACATGGGTCTGGTTCGGGTCAGTCATCTGGATATGGCCAACATAGATCTGGCTCAGGTCAATCAATTGGCTATAGACAGCATGGATCTAGCACAGGACAGTCATCCAGCTGTGGACAAAGTGGGTCTGGTTCAGGTCAGTCTTCCAGCTGTGGTGAGCACGGCTCAGGCCAGTCTTCTAGCCATAGTCAACGTGGCTCTAGTACTGGACAGTCTTCCAGCTGTGGACAGACTGGATCTGGATCAGGTCAGTCTTCTAGCATTGGGAAGCATGGCTCAAGTCAGTCTTCCAGTCGCAGTAGACATGGGTCTGGCTTAAGTCAGTCATCTAGATATGGACAGCATGGTTCTAGCACAGGACAGTCCCCCAGATATGGGCAAAGTGGGTCTGGTTCAGGTCAGTCTTCCAGCTTCAGTGAGCATGGCTCAGGCCAGTCTTCTAGCCACAGGGGCCATGGGTCTAGCTCAGGTCAGTCATCTGGATATGGCCAATATGGATCTGGCTCAGGTCAATCATCTGGCCATGGACAGCTTGGTTCTAGCACAGGGCAGTCATCAAGCTGTGGACAAAGTGGGTCTGGTTCAGGTCAGTCTTCCAGCTTTGGTGAGCATGGCTCAGGCCAGTCTTCTAGCCATAGCCATCGTGGCTCTAGCACTGGACAGTCATCTAGCTGTGGACAAACTGGATCTGGATCAGGTCAGTCTTCCAGCTTTGGTAAGCATGGCTCAAGTCAGTCATCTAGCCACATGGGGCATGGTTCTGGCTCAGGTCAGTCATCTGGCTATGAACAGCATGGTTCTAGCAGAGGACAGTCATCCAGCTGTGGACAAAGTGGGTCTGGTTCAGGTCAGTCTTCCAGCTGTGGTGAGCACGGCTCAGGCCAGTCTTCTAGCCACAGTCATCATGGCTCTAGCACTGGACAGTCATCCAGCTATGGACAAACAGGATCTGGGTCAGGTCAGTCTTCTAGCTTTGGTAAACGTGGCACAAGTCAGACTTCTAGCCACAGTAGATATGGGTCTGGCTCAGGTCAGTCGTCTGGCTATGGACAGCATGCTTCAAGCACAGGACAGTCATCCAGCTGTGGACAAAGTGGGTCTGGTTCAGGTCAGTCTTCCAGCTGTGGTGAGCATGGCTCAGGCCAGTCTTCTAGCCACAGTCAATATGGCTCTCACACTGGACAGTCATCAAGCTACGAACAAACTGGATCTGGGTCAGGTCAGTCTTCCAGCTTTGGTAAGCATGGCTCAAGTCAGTCATCTAGCCATAGGGAACATAGCTCTTGCACTGGACAGTCATCCAGCTGTGGACAGACTGGATCTGGATCAGGTCAGTCTTCTAGCTTTGGTAAGCATGGCACAAGTCAGTCTTCTAGCCGCACTAGACATGGGTCTGCCTCAGGTCAGTCATCTGGCTATAGACAGCATGGTTCTAGCACAGGGCAGTCATCCAGCTGTGGACAAAGTGGGTCTGGTTCAGGTCAATCTTCCAGCTGTGGTGAGCACGGCTCAGGACAGTCATCCAGCTGTGGTCAGACTGGATCTGGATCAGGTCAGTCTTCCGGCTTTGATAAATATGGCTCAAGTCAGTCATCTGGCCACAGGGGACATGGGTCTAGCTCAGGTCAGTCATCTGGATATGGACAGCATGGCTCTAGCACAGGACAGTCATCAAGCTGTGGACAAAGTGGGTCTGGTTCAGGTCAGTCTTCCAGCTTTGGTGAGCATGGCTCAGGCCAGTCTTCTAGCCACAGCCATCGTGGCTCTAGCACTGGACAGTCATCTAGCTGTGGACAAACTGGATCTGGATCAGGTCAGTCTTCAAGCTTTGGTAAGCATGGCTCAAGTCAGTCATCTAGCCACATGGGACATGGGTCTGGCTCTGGTCAGTCATCGAGATATGGTCAACATGGATCTGGCTCAGGTCAGTCATCTGGCTATGGACAGCATACTTCTAGCAGAGGACAGTCATCCAGCTGTGGACAAAGTGGGTCTGGTTCAGGTCAGTCTTCCAGCTGTGGTGAGCACGGCTCAGGCCAGTCTTCTAGCCGCAGTCAATATGGCTCTCGCACTGGACAGTCATCTAGCTTAGGACAGACTGGATATGGGTCAGGCCAGTCTTCCAGCCTTGGTAAACGTGGCTCAAGTCAGTCATCTGGCCACAGGGGACGTGGGTCTATCTCAGGTCAGTCATCTGGATATGGCCAACATGAATCTGGCTCAGGTCAGTCATCTGGCTATGGACAGCATGGTTCCAGCACAGGACAGTCATCAAGCTACGAACAAACTGGATCTGGGTCAGGTCAGTCTTCCAGCTTTGGTAAGCATGGCTCAAGTCAGTCATCTAGCCATAGGGAACATAGCTCTAGCACTGGACAGTCATCCAGCTGTGGACAGACTGGATCTGGATCAGGTCAGTCCTCTAGCTTTGGTAAGCATGGCACAAGTCAGTCTTCTAGCCGCACTAGACATGGGTCTGCCTCAGGTCAGTCATCTGGCTATGGACAGCATGGTTCTAGCACAGGGCAGTCATCCAGCTGTGGACAAAGTGGGTCTGGTTCAGGTCAGGCTTCCAGCTGTGGTGAGCACGGCTCAGGCCAGTCTTCTAGCCATAGTCAACGTGGCTCTAGTACTGGACAGTCTTCCAGCTGTGGACAGACTGGATCTGGATCAGGTCAGTCTTCTAGCTTTGGGAAGCATGGCTCAAGTCAGTCTTCCAGTCGCAGTAGACATGGGTCTGGCTTAAGTCAGTCATCTAGATATGGACAGCATGGTTCTAGCACAGGACAGTCCCCCAGATATGGGCAAAGTGGGTCTGGTTCAGGTCAGTCTTCCAGCTTCAGTGAGCATGGCTCAGGCCAGTCTTCTAGCCACAGGGGCCATGGGTCTAGCTCAGGTCAGTCATCTGGATATGGCCAATATGGATCTGGCTCAGGTCAATCATCTGGCCATGGACAGCTTGGTTCTAGCACAGGGCAGTCATCAAGCTGTGGACAAAGTGGGTCTGGTTCAGGTCAGTCTTCCAGCTTTGGTGAGCATGGCTCAGGCCAGTCTTCTAGCCACAGCCATCGTGGCTCTAGCACTGGACAGTCATCTAGCTGTGGACAAACTGGATCTGGATCAGGTCAGTCTTCAAGCTTTGGTAAGCATGGCTCAAGTCAGTCATCTAGCCACATGGGACATGGGTCTGGCTCTGGTCAGTCATCGAGATATGGTCAACATGGATCTAGCTCAGGTCAGTCATCTGGCTATGGACAGCATGCTTCTAGCAGAGGACAGTCATCAAGCTATGAACAAACTGGATCTGGCTCAGGTCAGTCATCTGGTTATGGACAGCACAGTTCTAGCAGAGGACAGTCATCCAGCTGTGGACAAAGTGGGTCTGGTTCAGGTCAGTCTTCCAGCTGTGGTGAGCATGGCTCAGGCCAGTCTTCTAGCCACAGCCATCGTGGCTCTAGCACTGGACAGTCATCCAGCTGTGGTCAGACTGGATCTGGATCAGGTCAGTCTTCCGGCTTTGATAAATATGGCTCAAGTCAGTCATCTGGCCACAGGGGACATGGGTCTAGCTCAGGTCAGTCATCTGGATATGGACAGCTTGGCTCTAGCACAGGACAGTCATCAAGCTGTGGACAAAGCAGGGCTGGTTCAGGTCAGTCTGAGCACAGTTCAAGCCAATCTTCTAGTTTCAGGGGTCATGGGGCTGGCTCAGGTCAGTCATCTGGCTATGGACAGCATGGTTCTAGCACTAGACAGTCATCAAGCTGTGGTCAAAATGGATCTGGCTCAGTTCAGTCTTCTGGTTTTAGGCAACATGGGTCTGGATCAGGTCAGTCTTCTACTTATGAGCAACGAGGCTCAAGTCAGTCTGTTGGACATGGGTCTGGTTCAGGTCAGTCTTCTTGTAACCAACATGGGTATGGAACATGTCAGTCTTCTGTTCATGGCCAACAATGCTCTGGTTCTCGTTGGTCTTCCAGCCAAGATCAACGTGAGTCTAGCTCAAGTCAGTGTTTAGGTTCTGAACAGTCAATTTGTGGCCAGTGTGGTTCCAGCTTAGGTCAGTCTTCTAGTCATAATCAACGAGGCTCAAGTCAGTCTTTTGGATGTGGGTCCAATTCAGGTCAGTCTTCCAGCCAAGGTCGACGTGGGTCTAGCTCAAGTCAGTGTTCAGGTTCTGAACAGTATCAGTCTGGTTCACCAAACTTTTCTAGATATAGACAATATAGTTCTGGATCTTGTCAGGGTTCTGGCTCTGAATGTGGGTCTGGTTCATGTTGCTCTTCTAGCTCTGAGCAATATGGTTCTAGATCTGGTCAGTTTCCTGGTTCCGATCAGTATTGTTCTGGTTCATGTTATTCACCTCAATCTGGACAATGTTATTCTGGATCTGATCAGTATTCTAGCTGTGAAGAGTATGGGTCTGGATCGTATCACTCCAATAATTCTGGACAGTGTGGTTCTGGATATGATCAGTATTCTGGCTATGCACAGTATGGTTCTGGCTCATGCCCTGGACAATGTGGTTATGGATCTGGTCAGCGTTCTCACTATGGATCTACCAATACAGTGTTACTTTGCAGGGAGTCAAATAACCCAGGCTATCGCAATCAGAGAGGAAGAAACAACTGTGGCGTGGGGGGTATCAGCTCAAATTCCTACTCTTTCAATAGCAGCACTCCACTTTATGAATACGTCCAAGAGCAGAGGGGCTAACTTTAAGGACCAACAACAAATAAAAATGAAATCAACTCAAGCAGCAAATTAAGAAATATAAAATTGTAACTAACAAGCAATTAATTATGAAATTACTTTTTAATAGTGGATATCTCTATTTCTACCTTTTCCTTTTAAACATATAATCTTTTTCACTGGGTTCCTTTCCCAAAATGTTGAGGTGTGGGCTATTTTGTTCTGAAATATTGAATTCAATAAATAATATGTGCAACTAAATTTGGAAGAAGTTTCTTGAATACAAAGCATTTAAGAAGCTTGGGGTTTAAGTGATGTCGGTGGGCCCCACGGGTGACTTATGTGAAGTGGGAAGGAGAAAGATGGTCACTTTCTCCCCACCCGCCTCTGCCACCCGGGACCCAGGATTACTGGGTTCTTGTCTCGCCTCGCAGAAAGGAATTTCAGGAGTAGACAAGCAGTGAAACAAATAGATTTTATTTGGAGGATTTTTTTAAGGTGTGTGTGTGTGTGTGTGTGTGTGTGTGTGTGTGTGTGTGTGGAGAGAGAGAGAGAGAGAGAGAGAGAGAGTAACACACTCAAGAGAGGACACAGGCTTCTCCAAGGATGAAGAGAGAGAACCCCTACACACATCCTAGCATTAGACAGAAAAACATGATAGTACACATCTCAAGAGGGGAGATGCAGGCGACACATGTGCTCAGCCCACATGTGCTCAGCCACGTGGGCGCAAGCAGCACATGGGCTCAGGCAGCATATGTGCGCCCTTCCTTTGTTCAAGGTGGCCTTTGTAGGGTTGCTCCAGCCTGTCCCCACGTGAGTCCTCTTTCCAGGTAAAAGTCCGTTGCTAAGGAGGTTACCAGGGAGGTCCAAAAAGAGGAATTCCATGGGGAGGCCTATATCCTGAGGGTCTGCGGATGGTCTTATCAGGCCTTTGTTTTCTGTGTCCACAAGGTGGGTCATTCCTAGAATTCTTCTTCCATGAAACTTTGTTTCATTGCAAAGGGCCTTTCCCTATCTACCTGCCTACATCATAAGGAAGTGGTTTTTCTGAGAATTTTGTTATTCACAGTCTGATAACAAATATTCATAGCTTCAAAGAGCATGCTATTACAAACACATTACTAGCTCCAGATCCCAAACATACCATAGACATTTACCATAAATTAGGGTTGCCTACATAGAATGATGACAAAAGAAAGAACCCTTATAATCTGAGATGCAATATTAACTTATCTACTTATCAAAAAGCCTGAACTTGGGTGTAGCTTTAATCAGTAAACTAACAAGAGACATTAAAAAGTGGTGTGAGGTATTTCTCCACAGGCAGTGAATGATAGCTATTCCTTAAAAAGTAGAAATTTATCAGTTCAGGATTAAAGGGTCCAGAGGTGAGTTCTGTCATGATTAAAGAAAGAACGATCTTGTCCCCTATCCCAAATTTTTTCTCTCCAGATTAAAAAACATTCTAATAGCTGGAGATGTGTTTCAGTAGTAAAGGGTACACTTGGCATGCGTAAAACTTGGATTCCATACACAACACTGAAAATTTTTCAAAAAGAAAAAAGAAAAGCCAACAAAATACTGCGGAAATCAGTAGCATAAAATTACAAATGACTCCAATCTACTTCTGAAATTCATTGACCTTTTCACATGTGAAAGTAGTACTTTTATCTAGATGGAATTATTGTCATTGTATAATCCTTAATTTGACAGTAGCATAAGTTTTCAATAACTATTGATTCAAATGACTGGACTTATTAAAAGCCACCATATATTATGTAACTGGTCTCATTTCTGCTTCAGTTCATTTTCCAAACACTAGTCAGACTAGAAACTACTAAAGTGGAAATTCCACAAAATGTCCATTAAATACAACCCAGAATATCAGAATATACAAATAACTTTTAACTCAACAACCAAAACAAACTTTCAACTTTAACATTAGAAAGGGACCCTGGCATGGTACAGTATATGCTTTGCATATGTGAGGCCATGTGATCCATCTGTTCAACCCCAACACAGCATGTTCCCTGAGGACCACCAGGTATGGCCCTCAAAACAATAAAAATAAATTTACTTAATGATGGAAAGGTGGCCCATGTGGTAAAGCACAGGCTTGTATGTGTGAGACTCTGAGTTCAATCCCCAGAACCATAAAAATAAATAAAATAAATGAGCAAAGGAGTTGAAATAACATGGAACCCCCCGAAAAAAGATATACTAATAGGTAATAATCAAATGAAAATTGGCCTAATGTCTAATCCAAAGGAAAAATGTAAACTGAATATGAATATATATTATGAGATATTCTCTATTTCCTATTCAAATAGTTAAAATTAAAAATACTAGCATTGGGGGGCTGGAGAGATAGCACAGCGGGCAGGGCGTCTGCCTTGCACGCGGCCGACCCAGGTTCGATTCCCAGCATCCCATATGGTCCCCTGAGCACCGCCAGGAGTAACTCCTGAGTGCAGAGCCAGGAGTAACCCCTGTGCATCGCCAGGTGTGACCCAAAAAGCAAAAAAAAAAAAAAAATACTAGCATTAGGAGTCAGTAAGTAGTATGGTGGTTAGAGCATGCGCCTAGCATAAGCCAGTCTGGGTTCCCTGCACACTGCCAGGCTGAGTGCAAAGTCAGGATACCCCTGAGTATCACCAGGTATGTTCCAAAAAAAAACAAAAAAGAAAAAGAAAGACAGAAAATAGTGTTTCAATGTGAATTTTGAATTAAATATGATTAAATATAATGAGATACCCTCTTATATTATATATTATATACTCTCCATTTTCAAAAAGGTAAATATATTTATGTGACCCACTAATTCTCCTTCCTGAAATTAAAACATATATCCACGTGAAGAGAGTTATATAAGTATTTGTAACCGCTTTAGTAATAGCTAAAAACTTTAAACAACTCCCATGTTCACCAACCAATGAATGTGTCAACAAATATATAGAGGAATATAATTTGACAAAGAAGAGTGAACAGCTTATACACATGATAGGAATGAACCTCAACACTATATTGACAAAAAGAACATTGGTCTTGCAT